ACGATGTGGGGCCCCCGACGGGGCCGCGGCGCGGCGTCGGAGGGCGGCGCCGCCGGCCCTCCTCTCTTCCGACGCCCATCCGTTGAGCGGTTCTTGCAATTTCGCTTGGATGCTGGTTCATTATCGTGTTGGGAGGACGAATCGGTTTCCACTGCTGCAGACAAGAACCAGGGGACGGACTGGGACAACTATCTCCGCTGTCAGACACCGTGACGAAGCTGCTCTGGGGCGCTGCGGCGCCATGCACCTCATCCCGCGCCGGGAAGGGCTCCGCCCGCAGGTGGGGGTCTGTCTCTCTTTTACTCTCTCTCTCTCTCACACCCTTTTCCCATTCATATTTTGTCACCGCTACACGCCAACACACCAGCCACAGAAAACACCATATGGGCTTCTACGTGTTTGGAGTCAGCTCGAGTGTGTCGGCTGGGAACGGCAGGGCTCCTTAACCCATCTGCGTCAGCTTTGCGCAGCGCTGTTGTCTAGCACAGGGGCGAGAAAATAATGCTGGGCAGCAGGCGACGGAGCCATACCTTCGGAGTCGGGCTGGGGAGGGGGGGCATCCCCCTGTACACAGGGTAGGCCAGCTCGCTCAGCTTCTAGTCCTCACCTTGGATCCTTCTGTCTAGATGCTTACGCATCATCGTAGCATGCCGCATGCCTGGGCGTGGCCATGGGGATGCCATGCATGAAGCTGCTTATGTTTAGGCATCCGCATGGGCATTCCTACGCGTGCATCGAAATATGCGCCCATGGACGCAGCTGGACTGTCATATGTTTCGGCCTCGACCTGGTGATGCCTGGGCGTCGGGTTGGCGATGCCTAGGCGTTGGCAAGGCGGCAGAGAAAAGGGGTGAATCCGGGCGAAAACCAGAACGGTGACCATGTTCCCCCGCACCCCGCGAACAGGGGGAGACGACTCCAGAGGGGATCTGGCCAGCGCCACGCGCACCCTGGAGTGGAGGCACCCCTCTCGCGCACAGGCAGGGAGGCCCCATAACCAAGGGCGGATGCACGAGGGCTGCGTGTCACCCGAACTCGCCTCCCCCCACCGCCCGTTCACGGTCTCCTCAACTACCTTGGGCTTCTTGTCGTTCCTTTGGGGGGCGTGTGGGCCCCCATGTTGCACGCGTTGTGTCACTACGAGCCGCTGAGCGGGGCGGCCGTGTGCTTGGCCATGAAGGCAGGACCGCCGCATCGGCGTTGCCCTTCTTCGTTGTGTTTTCCTTGGACGCCCCGTCTTCGATGCTGAGAGCCCCCTTGGTCAGACTCAGCATGCTGAGGACCTCCAGGTCCTTGGGCCAAGATGCCTTCCCCAGCCTTGCCGCAAGCTCGCTGGCCGAGCAGAGCGCCAGCAGGGGCGCCAGCCTGGCCGGCGATGCCAGGCCAGGCTCCACTGGGCGTCCTGCCTCCTCGATCTCGAACATCCTGCGGCTCGAAAGAGGCCTCTGAGGCTGACGCCTTCAGCTGCTCAGACCGCGCATCCTCGAACTGCGTCACCCCGGAGATTTTTGTTGCGCGGCTGGTGCGATCGGCCGAGCCGCATGGCGGCGGCGCTTCGTTTCGGCGCACCCCTCTCTGGCTTCGTAGCCCCATATGGTTGCTTCGATTAACGACGAAGGCCCAGATCCCAGCGTCCGCATGGCGTCGCCGCTCAATGCCCGCACCTCCTCATGCGTTTCGTGGCCCCGTCGGGAGCTCAAGCGGATGCCGAAATGCCACGGTCAGCGTGGCAGCGCCGCCCTAGTGTGGCGCGCCCTTCAAACGGTTCGTGGCCCCATCGGGAGCACCAGTTCAAAAGCCCGCGTGGCGGCGCCGTCTCATTTCGGCGCATCCCTGTCGCATTGCGAGGCCCCCACATACCCCTCACACCCCACACACCCCACACACGCTTCGTGACCCCATGGGGGGTTCCACCGTATAGCCCAGCGGCAAAATCACTATGCCGCCAGTTCGCCATGTTGGCACACCCCCTCCCACGCTTCGTCGTATCAGCTGCCTTGTTGTACCCGCAGATGCATATGGTTGGGCCCTTCGCTCGGATCTTGTCCAGCAGTGACGATGCTCACGTGGAGAAGCGGAGCCGCATTGAACCCTCCGAGGCACACCCTCTGGAATCGGTGAGAAGCACTTTTTTTTGACATGGACGAAACGATCTTCCGGCACTTCTGGCAACAGGCTTCGACAGAGCTGTTGAAAACCGTTTCTGAGACGTTGAGCGTTCGGCCGCGCTTCCCCGGAGCCAGTGCCGCCGAGACCGCGGCGGGGCTCCTGGGCCAGCAGGCCGCAGGCCCGGCCCGCGGGGGCCGCCTCTGCGCGCACCCGCCCGTTTGCGCGGCAGGCCTGTTGTGTTTTTTTTTTTTCCCCCGCGCGCCGCAGCCCGAGGGCTCGCGGAGGGGACTCGCCCTGCACCTCGCTGGTCGGAACCTGGAGCATCTACATTGCCAGTGGCGGGCTGTCTCTCAATCCCGGGGACTTCTTGAGGGTCGAGGACGGCGCTGGGGCAGTGTGGCGTATGCTTGTTTCTCCGACGTCCCGGGACGACAACGAAAAATGTATACACCAGGGTCCCCGTAAACACCAGGACCCGCTCTCTGGTGCAAATTCCAACGCAGGGCCGGAAGAAGAAACGTCGGTGTATAGAGTTCGATTCTTTCGATTTGACAATTGCTGAAAGTGCCCCTGGTTTTTCGGTCCATTTTGAGGCCCCTGGTGTCTAGGCCCTCCAGATGGGGCCGGAGCAGGTGCGGTCGGAGGATCGCTCCGCGTCGCCGATGCATCGGCGCTGTTGCTCGATGCAGAGCCCGATTTGCTTCACGTCGACGTCGCCGATGCACCGCCGGCGCCGACGATGCATCGCAGGTGCATCGCCGATGCATCGCCGATGTATCGGCGATGCGGCGCGATCCTCCGACCCCATCTACTCCAACCCCATCTAGGAGGCCTCTATGGTGCCCTCTTGGCATCGTGAGGGAGGGATATGGAGGCCGCAGGGGCCTCCCTGGAAATCCTGGGGGCACCTTGGGCCAGGGGCACTTTTTAGCAACGCGCGAGCCATTTCTCAAAGCAAAAGAACGTGGCATCGTTCGAACGTGTGCCTGTTTTCCCCTGCGACAGCCCTCGAGGATTGCCTTAGATCTCAGAGCAGCTTGCGACATGGAACAAAAGGCACGGGGAATGGACGTCCTCGCGAGAGAAAGATCCGGAAGACGCAGAAACTGCAGGTGTTCCGCGCGGATTTCTTGGATCTCGGCTGGACCCCCCTGGCGCCGCCCCTGGCGCTCCTCGCGCCAGGGAGGGGGCTCGGTGGCCACATGTGAATCCTACTTCAAAATCGGCGCGTAGCCCCGCCAGAGTATCTTCATGCCGTTCTTTTGTCCATCGATCCAGCTATCTTTGGAGTCCCGAAACGGTGCGGTGACGGACCGTGCGGTGACCTCGAAATTCCTCAAGACCTCACCGCACGGTCCGTGACCGCACCGTTTGGGGACCCTGGAGGCCCCTGTCGCCCGAGACATCCTCAGAGAGGGACTCGAGTCCCAAAACCGTGCAGTTTCGGCTCAACACGTTTCGAGGTCTTCAGGCGGCGTCTCTCCAACTTACTTAGATATATGTGTGTGCCCCGCCCCGGAGTCGACGCGCGCGCGCCGAGAACTCGAACAGTGTAATCTCCGCGGCGGGCGCTTTCTGCCCACACCGCTCGGGAAACGATATATTACAATATCGTTATACTATATGTTCGGGTCCGACGCGCGCTGTCGAGAAAAACATTTCGCACTGGTATGCTCCTGTGCGTCAGATCCCATCCAGGGAGCCCTAAAAAGCCCCAGGAGGGACTCCCAAGACTTCCAGAGAGACCCAAGGGCGCCCCCAGAGGCCCCCCCGGACAGCCGGAAACGACGCTCCGCACGGGCCGAATCCGGCCCGAGATAGCCTCTCACGATGGCGCACAGACGGCCCGAGAGAGCACCCAATAGTTTGGAGTCCACTGAGGTGGAGGAGGAGGAGGAGGAGGAGGAGGGGGAGGAGGAGGAGGAGGAGGAGGAGGAGGAGGAGGAAGAGGAGGAGGAGGAAGGGACCCCAAGAGTTCTAGTTTTGCGAAGACAGCCAGAGAGCGCCCAGGATGCTGGGGCCCCCAAGAGGCCTCAAGACAACCTCGAGTAACCCCCACAGGGGGGCCAATGTGGAGTCCAAGCGAGCTCAGATCGCCAGAACGGTTCCGCCGGCTCCTAGCCCGAGTGGCCAGCTCTGTTTTTTTCTTTCGGGGCCGCTCCCCAGCCGCAGGCCTTCCGCAGGTGCGCGCCCGATGGAGCCATTTCATCAGCACGCTCGGGTCATAGCAGCCCGGGGTCAGCCAGAGCGCTGGATCTTGCAAGATCCTGCAGAGCCAGGGGTGCATTGACCCCGGCTTGCATGCAGGATCCAGCAGAATCCTGCAGGATTCTGCAGGATTTTGCAAGGCCCGACTGACCCGGGTCTGGCTTGACCCGGGTACGTACTTCCCGACCCGCTTGCGCCTTTGACCTCTCGAGTAGGGGATCGACTACAGAATTCATTTGCTCCAAAACTGATTATCAGTCGAATCGAAGACAAATACGAAGATTGTGTCGTAGACCCACCGGCTTGCTACGACTTTGTTCGTAGGGTCGCCAGGACAATCAAGTCGAAGGTGAATCAATTCTGTAGTCAATCCCCTGTTCGAATGCTTCATATACGCGATACCTGGGCCCCGACCCCCCTCCGGGGGCGACCAAGCGACAGTTGTGGGGCTCCCGCCTCCTCCCGTCGTCCCTCGTGGGCCCGAGAGAGCGGGCAGCCCAGTGGCTTCCCCACGAGGTCCCGAACACGGCGCAGGGACGGTTCCAAGAGATTCCAAGAGCGGGGGGCGCGTAGGGGGGGGGGGGGGCTGCGAGGGCAGCAGAACAGATGCCCCCAAAGGGGCCCTTTAGGACCCCGACGGGGGCCTGTTGGGCCCGAGAAAGGCACCGCTTCGGGCCCGAACGGGGGTGGCGTTGAATGGGGGGAGGGAGAAACGTGGACTTCTCGGGCCCTAAAGGCCCCCCTTGGGACCCTGAAGTGCCCCTCTGGGGCCATCAGGGGATCCTTTTTCTGCAGCCCTCGCTGCCCCTCCATCCGTCGCCCTTCCACTGATCGCCGCCCGGCCAAGAGGGACCAGGAAGCTCCCAATGACTCCAAGATGGCCCTGCTGCTTTTGCCTCAAGCCAAAGCTCACGCCGAGCTTCAGGAATCCCCCGCAATTGCAAGCGCCTTTACCTCATACCCACACTCTTCGTGTCTGAATTTCTCGTTCAGGTCTGAGGGATGGCAGCCAAAGGGACTCCTTGAACCCTGTGCTTAGTGGGCCCATTTGTCTACAGCACGCGACCTACAGTTGCAATCCAGTTGCAGTCGAACATCACGCATCAATCGCAACTCCTCACACGGTCAACGACAAGCGATACCTTTTGCGGTTGCAGCTGTTTCCAATCTGGACCAGAAAGCAGCAGTTCCGCACCGTTCGTTCCTGCGTGGTTTGGATCCATGTGAGGACCGAGGTAAGCAACTTCCAAGTTCATGGTGGACATGACCACAACCGATAGCGATGGCTTGTTGCTCGCAAGTGTTGTGAACCAGCTTTCGTCTGCAGAGCAAGGATTTGTGGTTATCGAGATCATTCAAAGAGGAACAGTCCGTGCAGCATTGACGTCGAATTCTCCAAAGTGTGGAGTTCATGCGGTTACCAGTACTGCTGGTAAACGATGGTTTGCCTTACACAATTTCGCTCGATCGGCATACCGCTAGTAGTCTCTCTTTCACTTTGGTTGCCGACGGCAGAACCACAAGCAGGACAGCCTTTGGCTGTAGCGACCTCGAGCTTGACGTCCTGTGAGTGGGTGCACTTCCATCGAGCCTTTCACCAAGGTCTGGCCTTGATATGAGCGAGTCCACAAGCAATTTCGCCGCTTATGCTCTTCCACCGACAGCGGCCGCAATGCAGATTCTCCCGACGACGTCCAGTTTCTTGTCGGTCGGAGGTGGATGCGCGGCATAAACGGTTCCAACGATCAGCCCGACGCCAAGCCCCACGGTCAGCCCGACGCCCAGCCCCATGGCCAGCCCGACGCCCAGCCCCACGGCCAGCACGCCGCCCCATGCCGGCACCTCGACCGTAATGGCCACCGGCGCGCCGGCGACCCACATGTGTACGGCCAGAGATTCGACATCAACCAGCCTGGGAAGCACCAGCTCATCCGGACCCCGATGCTTGCGAGATTGAAGATTTCGCTCCTCAGATTGGCGAGGGCGACGCGTACTGGGCGGATGTCAACGTCACGGACGTTTGGACGAGGCGGTGTTGCACGGCAGACCTCGCTTGGGCTGCCGAGGCTGCCGAGCCCGGCGACCCCATGTGGCACCAGTTCCGTGATGTCCGCGCGGAGGTCGCCCGCGGCCACACCCTGGCAGGCACGAGCTGCCTCAACGTTCTCGTGAGTGGCCTGAACAGAGTCAGGCGTGCCATCGGGGGCCTCCGCGGAGATGGCGAGGAGGCTCGTGCCCCTGCGAGGCTCGCGCACGTGCTTCGGAGGCAGGAGCACGCACTGTGCTCGCCACCGCCGCCGCGCAATGCATGGTGGACACCGCGCGGTGCATATATCTGAGCTGCTTCCGGTGTTGCCGAGGGCCCGCACCGCCGGGACACCGCGCGGTCTGAGCTCGCCCGTCCGACCAAGGTGGATCGGTGCATGCCCTTCTCGTCCTTTCTGAGATTCCTCCTCGCTGCTGTCCCAGCACATGCGGCTCCTCCTCCCTGAGAGTCCTCCTCTCTGAGAGTCCTCTTTCTCATTTCTTCTGTGCTGCCCAGCCAGGAGGGACGATGACCCAGTCAAACACATGCTGTTGAATCCGCTCGCGTTGCATCCCCATGCCATGAGGACGCTTCGAGTTGGACGTCGCCAAGATTGCCGTCCCAACTGGCCAACGGCGTATAAGAATCTCTGGTCAAATGTGCCTTAGGGCAACGCTTCTCTGCGGCTGCCAGGATGCCAAATTGGCCCTGTTGCAACCACACGTTCTGGCACGATGCAGTTGTTCGGATCATTGGTGGCGATCTTGCTTACTTGCTTGCGATCCTGCTTGTATCCATGCGGCAGGATTCTAACGAACTGTTCTTTGCGCGTACGCGTTCAGGTAGGCGCGCCAGGTGAGAGTCACGAGGCCCTGTAGGTCAACCCGTGCTTCGCAACACGCTGGCGCATATAGGAGTTGAGCCTTGCAGTTGTTGCCTTCAGATCAGGTAGGTTTAACCCCCTGCCGCGGAGAGCTGCGCTGCAGAGTTGGGCCCTATCGGCTTGATTGCCTTGAGACTGCCTCCGACGCCCGCAAAAAAGTTTTGCGCGAAAGCCGAGACGGTTGACCGAATAACCCAATGCATAATTGAATCAGTATGAGCTCGCTCGGATTATTGGTAGTCTTGGGGTACCGTCATTTTGGATTACGGTGGGTACTTCCCAGTGCGCTTAGAACACAAGCAAACAACAAAGACGAAGAAGCCCCCAGGGTCGCCCCAACAAGCCCCCGAGAGGCCTAACACGCTGGTGGAGGTGAAGGAGGAGGAAGAGAGGGCGGCTTAGGAGTGTTGCTCCCGGACATGGTGCAACACGTGTTGCTATCGAACAGAATTAGCCCCCACGGAAGCCCGACGAGGGCCCGACGAGGCCCCAGGACAGTCCATATGGTTTCAATAGGGTTCCAATGACTTCCTGGGTCCCTCAGATGCCATCGATGTCTTCAAGTCTTTGCCAGACGCGTGGGGCTGACTTTGCAAATGAAGAGTTGATTGCCACCCCGTTTCGTTTCGCACATTTCGATCTTGATGCTGTCCATCATTGGCAGTACCATGATCATCCAGTTGCGCCAATGCCGGGACTCAATTCCAAGGAGACGTTTCAAGCTGTGTTGTTCCATGCGCCAGTCGGACCCGTACCTTTGGCGTCAGGAGCTCGTTGGGCGGATCATTTTGCAGGGGCGTGGCTTCCTTGACGGCAGAGGGCAGACCATCCATGGCGAAGACTGCGAAGATGTCGAGGCATCGTTCAATTCCGTCACGGTGACGCCTGGAGCATCTTCCCCGTCCTGTTCCCAGGAGGGCCTCAGCCTCGGAGTTGGCGGCCCTCGGAGACCGCCGACGGGATCAGCACGATCGACTGGCAACCTCGCCCAGCGGCCATCCGGGCCCAGCTCGCAGATGCCGACCACGGTCGCCCGGGGCCGATGTCGCCCAAGCCTGTGTGACGACCAACGTTCGACAGAGAAACAACAGCATAAACATGAGCTTTTGGCGCTCCGCGCGGATTCCTTGGATCCGCGCTGGGCCCCCCGGCGGCGCCTCCGCCGCCCCCAGCGCGCAGATCCCAGGAGTCCGTGCGGAGCGCCAAACGTTTACGTTTATGCCGTGTTTCTAGGGTGGTGGTGTGCCCGTGCCGAAGTTGTCTTCCACACGTGCCCAAGTGGTGTGCCCGTGCCGATGGGAGGAGCTGCAGAAGGGGATTCCTTGCATCGCTCGGACGTGTGCGTTTTTTCCTCGGCGAGGACCATCGAGGAGCATCCTTGACCATTTGCCGAAAAAAACACGCACGAAACCGAACAAAAACACAGGGAATGGACGTCCGAGCGCTGGCGAGGATGGAGCGGGTTGCGGCGGCGGCGGCGATGGCGGCGGCGACGAGGCGCGCCACGTCGTGAGCCGGCGTCGGCGCGCGCTGCGGCCCCGCGCCAGGTGTGGATTTGGTAGGCCTCGCGCCTGGCTCACCGGCGGACCCCGGGGGGCAGGGAGAGGGAGGAGGAGGGAGGAGGAGGAGGAGGAGGAGGAGGAGGAGGAGGAGGAGGAGGAGGAGGGGGAGGAGGAGGGAGGAGGAGGAGAGGAGGAGGAGGAGGAGGAGGAGGAGGAGGAGGAGGAGGAGGAGGAGAGGGGAGGAGGAGGAGGAGGAGGAGGAGGAGGAGGAGGGAGGGAGGAGGAGGAGGAGGAGGAGGAGGAGGAGGAGGAGGAGGAGGAGGAGGAGGAGGAGAGGAGGAGGGAGGAGGAGGAGGAGGAGGAGGAGGGAGGAGGAGGAGGGGGAGGATGCTCCTGCCGTGCTTGCTTCTCCGCGGCGGCGACATCCGAACCCTACCCTCGCTGATCGACGATCCAGGCAGTTTTCATGGGCAGCGGGGTAGGGGTCCGAATTCGTCGGCCACGTGGCGAAATCCGAGCCCTACCACGCCTCCCATCGATTCAGAAGAACCGATGGTTGGTGGGACTAGGGCTCGGATGGCGCCACCTACCTTCTGCATGCCAGAGCTCGGGCTAGGCGGTGTCTGTTTCGGCGATCTCGCGGTCCGCCCCCGTTTCTGTCGGTTCCGTGCTGCAGCCAGGAAGGGCGGCACGAAGACCGAGCGAGGGAACGCGAAAGCGGCACGAGTCACAAGACGACGCCGCTTGGCTCGAGCCCTGGTTCGTGCCGTGCTTTTGCCTCCGCTGGATGCCAGCGTCGCCCGCCCGCCGCCCTCCCGCGGATCCGAGCCCCCCCCCCCACGAGGGGCCACCGAGGGCTGCCGAGGGGCGGAGGGCCCCTCGATCGCGAGGCGAGGGCCCTCGAGGCCCGAGGGCCGCGGCGACCGCGGCGGTGGCGGCATCGCGAGCCTCGACGACGAAGGCGCCCGCCACGAGGGTTGGCCCGCGAGAGGATCGACGGCCACGGGAAGGGCGGGCCAGGGCCGCGGCGACGACGCCAGATACCGCACGATGCGCTGCAGGGTAGGCCCATGCCAAAGGAGCACCCTGCTCGTCTCCAGGGTGCCCTGGGTTTCTATTGCGATGGCTCTGCTATGGAAGGCGTGACGCCTCCACACCGAAAATCAATGGACGTCCTGGGGTCTCAGGCTCGGGTTTCTTGTGGGAGGTTCCTTGTGGTCGAGCTCCTACTGCCTCCCGACTCCCAGCGGCCTCGGCCCCCTCGGCCACTGTCCAGTGGTTCGCCGCGCGGTCCAGGTCGTGACTTGGGGGGAACCGCGGCGTGCCTGTAGGAGTGGCAGCGCCGGGCGTCCGGGCCCGGAGCCGCAGGGGGGGAAAATGCTGACCGATAGCGCTACCCATTCCGCGTTTTTTTAATGGGTGTCCTCCTCCTCCTCCTCCTGATACGGAGAGATGGTGGGTGGGGTACGATGCATACTGTACAGCACAAGCACAATGTAAAGACGGGTCACGGTCAATGGGGGGAGATGGGACCAGCAGACAAGGTATTCTTGCGACTAACAAGGCACATGGAAAAACGCTACCATCTGTACCATCTCCATCGTTCAGAGTCGATTCCCACAGCTGATTTGGCTCAACATTGGCATCGGTGCGCAGTGTTGCGCAATAGCGTGGTTTCTCGGAAAGCGTAACGCAGGGAAGCCACCCATGGCTTTCACGGGCAGCAGCCAGCTATGGCCCTGCGGGCTTTGCAACACGGGGCTCCAGTACTACAGTATGATCGAGTCCTACAGGGAGCACGCCAGCAATTAACCAGGACATGGAAAAAACGAGGAGGCACAGGCAACGGATGGAACAGAGTTTGCATCCACTGCGAGCCGGAGCTGAGGCAGGAGGGGTGGGAATAATTGACCGATGAAGACAAGACGCTACATGGTGGAGAGAAGTATACTTCGAGAGAGCAGGTCTGCCGAGAACAGAGGAGGAAAACAAAAAGGGCTGTGTGGACAGCCCTGGCCTCAGGAGATATCACAGCAGCACGAGCACTTTTGGCAGAAGAAGAAGAAGGGCCACATAAAAAAGTCTCGCACAGTCAGAAACAGGTTGTCCATAGAGAAGCCAAAGAAGAGGGCAAATGCGCTGCTGGAGGGCATGAGAATGAGGGTCAATGAGTGGAGGCATATCCGCTGCTGCCGAACGAGTGGAGGCATAGCCGCGGCCTTTTGGAAAAAAGAGGAGAGGGTATGGCAGAGGATCTACGCTGCGCAGAAGAATGCGACATCCTACTCAACAGGTGCATAGACATGGACATCAATGACGAAGATCACTGAAGAGCATAAAACAAGAGTTTGATGAAACAAGAAGGATCTGCACGAGATGGGCGATTGCAAGACGGCGAAGAACATTGGGCAATCACCGTCTGCGTACCTCAAGGCGCCGGACTTCGTGGGCAAGCGGAGCGACAACATGCAGTTGTTCAACGTATGCAGCTTGGGCACAGGATGGAGCGACAAGAGGGGCGGAGCCTGCTCGTGCGGGCTTGCCTTGCCAAACAAGTTGTGGTGGAGAGGCCCCGGCCCCAACTCGAGAGGGGGCAAGTGGCAGTTGCGATGCGACGTGGACTGGCTGCAGCTCGCCAAGGCGCAGGTGAGCCACCCAGAATATGTGCGTATGCAACAGTGGGTGGACAAGATGAAGGGACCGTTCGGCGACGGCTGCGAGGAATGGCCAAAGATCGTGTGCAGGTCGAAGTTCCTCCAGCGCAAGAGTAGGCCGCCGACGGTGGTGGAGCTCAAGTTGGGAAATGCATGGGAAGCCTTCGTAGGAGAAAGGCTGCCGCAATAACTAGGCGACGCCATCGAGGAGTGCCACTGCTAGTTCTTCGAAGCCGCCCAGAAGATGGGCCCAGAGGGGCTTTTCGAGTTGATCCCCGTGTCCTTCCCGATGGCGCACAAGGTTAAGGGTTGCCATCTCATCGCAAGGTGCCCTGTGGACGCGTGGGAAAGGGCAGGGGGGAAAGCGTTTGCTGCGCAGAGCTGGTGTGAACTGGCGCTACATATATCAAAGGACAACGAAGAGGACCTCCACAAAGTCATGAAGGTCGCCTTGAAGGAGCTGAGTAGCGCGGACAATCTCGACCAAGAGGAAGTGAAGAGGCTCACGGAGCGCCAGAAGCTACGATACAGCACGCAGACCTTGCTGGATGGTGCCGAGATCTTCGAAGCAAAGTTCGGCTACCCCAAGTCGGAAGAGACGTCGACGGCCATCTCCTCCTGCGGCCGCCGGTGAGTGCACCCATTGGTGCCTACTGGAATGCCAGGAAAGCATGGGCGAGGTTGTCTCGGAGCGCTACTCTGGGCAAGCTGGACGTGCCCACGGGAAGCCAAAATAGGCACTAGCGAGGTTTTCTCGGTGTGCTACTCGGGGCGTACAAGATGGGCATCACGGACTGCTCGCACTGTCGTCGCAGTGGGAAGTATCTTTGGGAACGCCGGCAGGTACATTGCTGCAGGGCGTCGAAGGAGAAAAAAGTGATCATCGCGAATTCCACCGGTGTGCTTCCCCGCTGGCCCCGCTTACTGTATACCTTGACTACCAGCACGGTCTACCCCGCATACATTTCCAGGGCAACCGGTGGGATACTACAGCGGGGTATCAGAGGACATCTGCGACAGTGCTTGGGGCAATTTTCGGCCAGACCGAGGAGTGAGCCGAGCGGGAGAAGGGAGTATATAATTAAAACAGTAGAGTGAGCAGCCCTCCCAGCAACAGTTTGGGGACACGGGCATCTCCCGACCCTTCCACGCCGCCTCCTTTTGAATGGTCGTGTCGTCATCTCCCCCCCTAGGCGCGCTGTTAGTGAGGAGGTAGGGCTGTTGCGCAATTGATCGCAGGAGATTCTGGCTCAAGTGCGTAAGACACCAGCGTCTGTGTTTTGACATTACACCCCCAAATGCAGATATCCTGTCCTGTCCTGTCCTCCTCCGCCTCCTTCCTCCTCTTCTTCCTCCTTGTCCTCCTCCTCCTCCTCCTCCTCCTCGTCCTCCTCTTCCTCCTTCGAGTGTTGCTAAAAGCATCCGTGGCCCAAGGTGCCCCCAGGACTCCCCAGGAGGCCCCCGCGGCTTCCGGAGCACCCCTCACGAGGCCCAAAGGGCCCCGGCAAAGTGGAACGAAAAGCGGCGCGCACCCCGGCCGTTTTTTTTTTCTCCCCCAAAACAAAATCAAAAAACAATCCCCGAGGTCTGCTGCGCCTCCTGGGAGGCCACCGCCGCCGGCGCCGGACTCGCCCAGAGTTCCTGGTCGGAACGCGCCGCGGGAGAGGCCCGCGGCGAGTAGCGGCATCGGTATCCTATGGTTTTTCCCGATGGGCAGCGCCGTGCTTGGGCGAAGCTCATATCGTCGGTCGTCTGGACAACAGAGCCCGTCGCGCCGCGAGCAGAAGCACGGCCCGAGGGCGCCGGGCAAGTCTCGGCTCGACTCGGGCTGCTTTTGCCGAGGATTATGATGGTCCAACCGATTTTGGCCTTCACCACCAAAAAAGATTTCGAGCTTCGAAGAAATTCCAACACTTGTTGAGGCTTTGACGCGTCGGGCAGTATTTCGATATTGTCCTTGGGAATACGTGTGTGTTCGACATCGTTCGATACACGGGTGTTCGAAATTATTTGTGGGATGTGGCTTTTAAGTACGATAGGAACCACATTACTTGAGAAACGAACGCAGCATAAACATAACTGATCGGGGGTCCGCGCGGATTGTCTTGGATGCTTTCTGCCTGTGATCGCTGTTCACCTCGCGTGGTTCTTCATGTAGCTGTTGGTTCCTCTGCGCAAAGAGGGGGTTGTTGGGAGTATGGGTGTCGAGGAGGTCGAAGGGGGGTTGAGTGGTGGGAAAGGGGGGCCAATATGAGGTCAGCCGCCGCCGCCGCTCGGACTTTTCCCCCGCAGACGGGCCGACTCTTCGCGTGATTCTTCATGTAGTTGTTTCTTCCTTTGTGCAAGGAGGGGGCGCGGGAGTATAGTCGACCGGCGTAGTCAGGATGGGCATCCTGGCAATTTCAGCCCATCCTCAGGGACTTACGCTGGCCACGCCCCGCTCGCAAAGTGTCGACACTGCCTTCCAAGACCCTTGCATCCTTACCGCGCATCCTTAAGATACGGGCCGACTGTATGGTGATTGAGGAGGTCGGAAGGTGTGGGCGGGAATCGGGGACCAGAATGACATCTGCCACCGCCGCCGCTGGGACTCTGCCTGGCGGAGGAGGGGAAGAGGAGGAGGAGGAGGAGGAGGGAGGAGGAGGAGGAGGAGGAGGAGGAGGAGGAGGAGGAGGAGGAGGAGGAGAGGAGGAAGAGGAGGGCGAGGAGGGGAGGAGGAGGGCGAGGAGGGCGAGGAGGGCGAGGAAGTGGAGAGGAGGGAAAGAGGAGGAGGAGGGAGGAGGAGGAGGAGGAGGAGGAGGAGGAGGAGGAGGAGGAGGAGGAGGAGGAGGGGGAGGAGGGCGAGGAGGGCGAGGAGGGCGAGGAAGTGGCGGAGGAGGGGAAGAGGAGGAGGAGGAGGAGGGGGATCAGGGAGAGGGGGAGGCGGAAGGCAGGAGGAGGAATGGGAGTGGGAAGAGGAATGGGCTCCATCGCCGGTGCGACGAATACTGCAACTGCCTGAGGCCGCCTCTTGTGTTGACCCGCGAAGTGGACGAATCAGAAGATGGACACCAGCGAAGGGTACCTGACTGGAGCCTGAGGAAGACGAGCACACCGAGGATACCTCAGATACCTCACCACATACCGGTACGTAGCAGACTTGACTGATTTTAACTCGGCTCGATTCGGCCCTACGGTAATTTGCACCGCAGGTTATCGGGCAACCTCTCGCGTATGTCATATAGATCGCCTCTTCCACAGACAGCCTCGCAAGACAACAGTCAAGTTTGTAGTTTCCTCCTTCCAGGATCGAACCATTGAAACAGGAGCAACACGCGCCAACGCCTCGCCACGTATAACGCCGCCGAAGACGAACGGGACATAGCCCCGCAACGATCGTGCTGCAAGACAACGTGATGTCGATCAAGAAACCCAGGGATCCACCATAACCGAAAACGACAAACACAAATTTGCGTGAAGAGCCATGGCCCGAGCACACACCAAAGCCACTGTAGCCTGTAGCCCTCGATCACAGGTGCTGACCCAGCAAAGTAACTGAAAGGATGAATTGATCAAAGAACAGTAGCTGGTATCAGTCGGGGCGGGCTCCGCTTCCCACACCGATACGAAATCATATTTACCGTGACCGTCCGCACACATGCTGCAAAATAGCATTCCCCATGATTCCCAGGAGCAAATTGCAACATGATCAGAGCAAAAGCAAGTGCAAAGCGCCACCCGAACATTTTACATACCCTCCTTAGGCAGGGCTGGGAGACACACGCAATGAAGCTGATGATGCCAGGTGATAGCAAAACAGCGATTGCAACACACCACGAGAAAAATGCATGCCCTACCCATTCGGGTCTGGGAGGTACACGCATTGAAGCTGACGATGCCTGGTGCGGACGTCGCGTTGCTCCGAAAGACGCTGCTTGAAGTCGTGCTGCTGGTTACAACCACGTCCACTCTGCCGCTCGCACTCGAGGAGCCCGTCGCGGAAGCGGAAGAGGATGACGCACCGCACCACACCCAATTTGCTCTCCCTTCCCAACGGGATCGGCTGCTCGAGCCGCGGCGCGGCAGACCCGGTGCATCTCAAGCTCCAGCGTGGAGCCCACATGTGTTTGAGGGCATGAGGAGGAGGAGGAGGAGGAGGAGGAGGAGGAGGAGGAGGAGGAGGAGGAGGAGAGGGAAGAGTGGGAAGAGGAGGAGGAGGAGGAGGAGGAGGAGGAGGGCGCCTTCGCCGTCCCGGTCGGCCCCCGCGTTGGGGGGGGGCCGCGGCCGGGTTGACAACGACTTCTACATCGTGGGGAACGACTCGAGCCGCGGGGGCCGCAGACCCTTCGGCGCCCGCCCCGCCCAGCCCGCCGACACCGCGCGGGCGATGCGAGGCCTCGGGCTGCGCGCTGGCAGCCCCCCCCCAGGCAGGAGCCGCTTTGGCCTCCCATCGATGTCGACTGCGAGGATCTCGACCCTCGATCCGATCCACTCGACCGTCGAGGATCTTGACCCCCGAGGATCTCGTCCCTCGAGGATCTGGACCTGTCGAAAACGAAATCCTCGAGATCGAATCGAAGAGAATTCTCGAAATCCTCGGATCCGAGAGGCCGCCCAGATGGGGTCCGAGCAGATGGGTTTGGAGGGTCGCGCCGCACCGCCACATGCTCGGCGACGTTGGATCTCAGTGGGGGGCGCACTGGGGAGGCAGGAGGAGGAGGAGGAGGAGGAGGAGGAGGAGGCATGGGAAGGAGGAGGAGGCAGGGGGAGGAGGAGGAGGAGCAGCAGGAGGAGGAGGAGGAGGAGGTTGAGGCAGGGGGAGGTGGAGGAGGAGGGGGAGGCAGGTGGATGTGGAGGAGCGAGGCAGTGGAGCAGGGAGCAGGCGCAGGAGGCGCGGGACCAGGAGAGGCCGGGCCATATTCAAGTCGGGCATGTCCCGCCGCAGGAGGACGATGCAACCATAGTCAAACCATAGTCTCGGACGATGTTTCGATCAGTGTTGGATTATGTTGAAAGTACGTGCTGCCTTCTTCAAGATAAACGAGCCTTTTTTCTTCCAAAGCATTTTCCCCAGAACAACTCGTCTGTAGGAGGACACGCCCGACCTCAGGTCAGGCACGAGCAGGAGAGGCGCACCGCGTTTGGCATGCTCCGACGTTTGTCTCGCGACGGCGACGCACAATGGATGGATCTCGACATACTTCTTTCGAGGAATAGAAAACGGCCATACACAAAAACTTTGAGCGCTCCGCGCGTATTTCTTGGATCCGCGCCAGGCGCCGCCCCTGGCGCGCTCCGCGCTCAAGGGAGGGGGGGCCCATCGCAGATTCAATAAATCCGCGCGTGCCTCTAACAGTTGATGTTCATCTTTCCCTATTTCGGGCCTCTCAGATGGGTTGTTTCGGAGCGACGACGACCTCGCGACGACGAGGCGCAATTGATCCCAGCGTACTTTCGATGTGGATCCGACGTACAGGCGGCAAGGATGCGAGATCCTTGGAAGGCCACGTGAACGTTTTTCGAACAAGGTCGGCCCGCGAAAGTGGCCAAGGATGGGCCGAAGGGGCAAGGATGAAAGGGTACCCTTGGGAATGGTGCCCATCCTTTTTATGCGGGCTGACTGTAGATTGCGCCTCGAGTGGCCGCGCGAGGCCTCCAGCAGTCTCTGCAGGATCTGCACGCCTTGCTGCCCGCCCGAGTGGAAGTCTTGGCATGCACCCTGGCATCGCTCGGACGTGTGCATTTTTTTCTCGGCGAGGGCCATCGAGGAGCATCCTTGATCATTTGGCGAAAAAACCACGCACGAAACTGAAAAAAAAAAACAGGGAATGGAGCGTCCTCCTCCTCCTCCTCCTCCTCCTCCTCCTCCTCCTCCTCCTCCTCCTCGTCAACATCATCCCGGATTCCGCCCGTCGCCCCCCCCCCCCCCGTGCGTGGGCGAGCGCCCTTCCCCTCGGTCTTCGCCCGCCCGCCGCCGCCGGCCCCCTTGCCCCGCCTGTGTCCCGCGGCGTGGACCACGAGACCCCTGCGGTCAAGTCAGGCATGTCCCTCGACAGGGGGAGTGCAGAAGAACGGGCAAAAGCAGTGCGGGGACGCTGTTTTTTTTTTTTTGTGTTCTGACTATCCGTGAATATTGCTGCCTGCTGCCTATCTTGCATTTCTCTTCCAGGAGCCGCCTGTAGGGTATGGGGACCTGCCCAACCTAACTCTACGGACCCAGAACGACGGCGACACGTGCTTTTGGCATGGTTCATTGGCGATACATTGGCCATGTGGCGCGATCTTCGGACCCCATCTACTCGGACCGTCCGACATCCGTCGACGTCATTTCGTTGGATCGAAAAGACCGACATTAGTTCTTGTTCATTTGAACAAGACTCCCTGTCGGGGTCGCCCTGGACGTTGTCCATGCGAGGTAGGAGGGTGCCTGCCCCACAGCGGCCGCTGCCGCGGTTGGACAACATTTCTTGTTGGCACCGTGCCGATGTTTGATCTTGCCCATGGCGGACGTCCATATCTTTCGACCCGCGGCCCCTCGAGCTATCCCGACCCCTCTCGGAGGGGTACAGCTTGCGTCCTGGAGCTCTTCAGTTGGGGCTCGGACGAGGATCAATCCGTTCCAGAGCTGTCCCTGACGCTCTCGGAGCGCTCCGGAACTGAGAAGGCCGTGGCGCCCGCGTTATCTTTCAGAGCCGCCAGATCTCAGAGATCCTCGATTCGATCCTTCTCATTTTATCGATGTTATTTTTGTCCTGACGTCGTCTTGTCCTTCTTATCCTTCTTCGATCCTTTTGTCCTTTCATCCGGATGCAAATCCTTGGAGGTCAAATTCTGATTTTGCCCTGGTCCGAAGTCTGGCTTAATCCGGAGTGATCCCGCTTAATCCCGCTTAATCCGGCTTAATCCCGCTTAATCCGAAGCCCACTTTGGCGGAACAGCCCCGCAATGGGGCCTAATCCTCCTTAATTTTTCCGACGAAGACCTCCCGGCAGTTGTTTCCTAATTTTCATCCGTGCCGATTTGTCCTTGCCCGATGTCATCCTCGTCCTGGCGTCGTCCCAGGCCTGGCGTGTTGCTGGTGACCCCCGGGTTGCCGCAGGCAGGCCGTGCCGGGGCCGAGCAGATGCAGGCCGAGGAGCAGCGGAGACGTCGGGAGCGGGAAATCAAGCAGCGGCGACGCGTCCCGGCTCGCTTGTAGGCCTGCCAAAGGATGTTCGAATAGCCTGTTTCGGGGGCGGCCAAGAGGGGGGGGGGGACATCATGGCGGGGGCCCATCCAGGGTAAGGACGCCATGCCATCGCGCGTCCCGCCCGTTTTTCTAACCGTCGTCCACATGAAAAGGAGGAGGGGGGATCAGCCATCCGTGTGGTTCAATCACTGGCGAATCGTCCTGGCTCGCCTATAGCCCTACCAAGCAATGTTCTAAGGAACTGTTGTGGTTTCCACGACGTGTTCTTAGAACTTTTCTGGCCGAGATTGCTTTGTTTTAAGGCATCGGGCTTCTGTTCTAAGAATATTGTTCTTGCTCTTAGAACATGTTTGGGTTCTGAGAACATGCCGTGGTAGGACTACAGGAATGCCGGGACGGTCGGTCCCTGCTCAATGTAGGCCTGCCAAATGATGTTCTATGAACCGTCTTCGGGGGCGGCCAAGTGGGTGATGACTAGGGGGGGGGGGGGACATCACGGCGGGGGCCATGACATGTCCCCAGATTTCATGGCGCCTCTTCTAATTTCATTAATTACGTCCCTGCCCCCCCCCAAGGGCCGCGCACATGCCGCCGGTCATGATTTGCGCCCCCCCCTCTTGGACGCCCCCCTCGTTGGCCGCCCGCGACTTTTGTGGTTTCCACCAAGTGTTCTTAGAACTTTTCTGGCCGAGATTGTCTTGCTTTAAGGCATCTGGCTTATGTGCTCTAAGCACATTGTGTTGTTTCAGGAGCAGTTGTGTGTTCTAAGAACGTTTCGTGGTAGGCGTATCGGAATGCCGGGAAGGTGGGTCCCTGCTCAAGGAAACGCACCACAGTCGCCATTTGGGCTGAAGTCGGGCGTGTCCTTCTACAGGGGGAACATTCAAAAATAGTACAAACAACAGTCTGGGGATGATGTTTCGAATATTTGTTTAAACTATTTCGAGCATTGTTGGATCTATTCATTTTTCGCCCAAAATTCGCATGTGGGAGGACGCCCACCCTAAATCAGGGGGAAATGCAGGATGAGCTGATGCGTGGAGCGAGGAGGGTGTGAGTCTAGGTCTAGGCATCCTAGATGGGGTCGCATCGCCGATGCACTGGCGATGCGGCGCGATCCTCCGACCACATCTAGGTGGCCTCTAGAAGAGGGGGGCAAGGAGGCGGAACGGGAGGAGAAGGAGGAGTCCGTAGCCATGTTGGCTCAAGCTGAAGCCCTGAGTCGTGGTTGGGGCTTCAAGCTCAGTTTCCCGCTGTGTGCGACAACCAAAGGTGTGCATGATGTCCCGCGAGAGTTCCTGCACAGATGTAGACCACCACCACTCCTGGCCACCCTCTGCCTCCATCCTCCTGTTGGTGGTGGTGGTAGTGCGTTTCCTTCTCCCTAAGACATGTCGCCGGAGATCTCTTGGACGATACGGAGGAGGTGGAGGCCAGCTGCGGCGGATTCGTCAGCGCGTCATGGGAGCCGTGCGTGTCCTCGTAACTCCGACTCTAGAATGCGTTATACTCGGTCGCTCAAACATGGCACCAATGACATAGCACAAATCGTGAAAACGAGTTTGGCATATGAAAAAAAAATCCATCTTTTGGATCGAGAACGTTGTTTTCCGAGCCCGACTTGTGCTATGTCGGGCGCGTTTCGCGCGGATCCTCTCGACCCGGCCGGCCGAGGGGATGGGGGGAGATAAAGAGAGGGAACAAAGAGAGAAGGGGGATGTATCGGAGAAACCTCGCCCCCAAAAGCGCCGCCCTGGCGGCGAGAGAGGGG